AGTCCAGAGGCTCCTCAGGCTCTCCACATCATGGAGCAAGTCCTCTGTAGCAGGAAGAAGTCTCCCAACTCTAGAGATCGGGGAAGGAAAAGGCGGACAGACACACACACCTGATGGTGCCCTGGTCTTGGGACTTGGGCACCCTAAGATATGCCTCACCACTCCGCATTACTTTAGCTTGAAAGTCAATTACAGAATTCCCTTCCTTTAAAAAAAAACCAGTAGATTTCTCCTCTTAAGACAGGTTAGTGCCATGTGTTTGGTGCATACCTACTTGGGAGGCTGAGGCAGGAAAATGACAAGTTTGTGGGCAACTCAGCAAAACCCTGTCTCAAAATAAAACAAAAGGGCTGGAGTGGTAGCTCAGTGATAGAGCTTGCCTAGTATTCACAAGGCCCTGGGTTCAATTCCCAGTGCAGGAAGAAAACAATACCTGGTTTGGGCCACATTTGCCTCATTTGCGACAGAATCCTGACCAAGGCAGAAAGGACAATCTTAACGACAAGCACTAACATATGGTTTGAGAATTGAATGCTAAGACCAAATACTTCTTGAGCACCTGTGCAATTGAGAGCAAGTTACCACTCAGAAGTGCTTTTAAGCACAAGCATGCACATACACACAGATGGACTGAGTTAAACTTCTATTTATAGCTGAGCGCGGTCATCAATCAAGTCCACATTACCTATGCCAATAGCCATATCCACCCATGTTCTCCTGCTGGCCATTCGTCCTTTAAAGGCCCTGAGTAAGGGCTTTATCATTAGTTCTTCCTCCGTTATACTGTGGTTACTACTTTTCTTCTCTTTTATATTTGGGGGTATTTGTAAGCCACCCTTGTCATTCATCTCCTGAAAACAGAACTTCCGTCTCTCATAATCTGACCTGTATATTCACAACAGCATCCTGTTGGTCATTATGTATTTTAAAGGAATACCAGTCTGCCAAGTACCTAGGAACCATAGAACTCCAGGCAGGTCCCCATTCTGAATGACAAACAATTCCCTCTCCTTGAAAATGAGAAACTAGAAATACAAAAGCAGAGTAGTTTGTTATTAAAAAAAAATACCCAGCAGCCCATTATTAATCAAAAAGTATTCTGGTTTCTCCACTGCTACTCATGAAGTGTTCCTCCACAATAATGACTGAAAATTACTTTGTAACAACAGGAACTTTTGAGTGATTCATGATTATGATGGCTAGAATAGTATAATTTTTAAAATTAGGTATCAAGAGACTTTAAATATGTCAGAGTGAACAATGCATAAAAAAATTTGTTAAAAGATACTTGATATTTAATTTGAATTTCTATACATTTATAATAAAATCAAGTAATTCATTGTACTTTCTCTTGAAAATTTCACATTTGATATCAGAATTCACTTTCAAAATAGTCAGCAAATCAAATAATGGCCTGATGGAGCTAGCTAGTGTTTACTACTCAGAACAAACATGAGAAAATGTCACTCTTTTCCAGAAGAGAAAGGTGAGTAGAGTGAGTCAAATAAACAAACATGAAGGTAAATCTTGGTTTTTATTTATAATGATACTAGCCAGTATAAACTAGCTATTATTGAACCACAGATATAAGAACAAACAATGTTAAAATATGAAAACTTTTAAATCACCTAATCCAGGACATTTTAACCTGGGTTCCAAATCAAATGTGACATTTTGTGTGTGTGACATTAGATATATTTTTCCCCAAAATAAGAGCTTGGCTTACATCAAAATTTCAAAGGGACCCATGGCTGAAAAGACTGAGCTGAGAGCCATTATCTAATCATGGTAGGGAGAGGAAGTCAAGCTCAGAGAAACAATTTGCCTTCGGTCAAATAGCAAGGATCAGTTTCAGTACTCAAGTATTCTTTTTATTAAAGCATAATTAGCTCTAAAAGCGTTTTTTTAAACAAGATGTATTTAAGAGAAAAACAAATCCATATGACTTAAAGTCAGTGAGGGGAACTCACAGGCTCATGTTAAAAGGAAACCGAGATAGCAGCGCTGAGGCAAGAACTAAAGCCAACCCTTGTAGCAGGCAGCTGTAGAGAGATCATTCCCAGGAGGGCAGAGGGGCCTGGTGGAGGCCTGCAGGCAAAGGACCACAAGGCAAGTTCACACTGCTGAGTCAGCTCAGCTGACCCGGCAGACAGTGGGAGATGAAGAAAAAACAGTCTTTAAGATAAAAGCACAGCAGGGAGGAGAAGGCAGCTCAGCCTTCAACGACCACGTCAGCAGACTCCAAGGAAAAACAAGCGAACGAAATAAATCAAAACACCAAGCTCACTAAAATCAAACCCAGAAAGGCCAGAGAGCGATCTGCCTTGCTCCAAAACCCAACTAGGATGGTCTCAGATTGTCTAGGGCAAATTCCAGATCTCCGGAGAAAAACACATCCAAAGAAAAGTCCCTCAAATAGCCTTTACTACTAGCACAGTAAAACTCACACCCCAGTGTAGAGCCCAGGAGGATGAGGCGGCTGGAGGAAGCTTTACAGGAAAGGAAGGGGCAACAAATCTCATCTTCTCGGGCAGCCCACAGCCTGGGCCCTGGCGACCCTGCAGCCATAAAAGCCTGCAACTTCAAACTTCTGGTCGGACTGGACATCTATTCTCACTGGCTTTTCCCCTTTTATTTGTAAGAATGGAAGCCTTGTTCGTGCATCAAAGTGCTTCTGCCCATTCCTTATGAAGTCAAGGATTCTGGAGATATAGTGCCTACAGGACACACATACATGATGCACACACATGATATTATGCCTTCTAGGACACTTGTACAAATGATATATGTACACACACACAGTAACGTAAGCAGTGAACACTGATTTCACCAAAGGTTTTAGTCACCAGGAGAACAGAAGTAGGCTCAGGGGGGAACTTATTTTTTAAAAAGAGCTAAAACTTATTCATACAATAAGAAAACAACAAATAACACCTAAGAAAAGGAACAGTAAGCATGTTTAAAAACATACAGCAAATACAATAAAAAACTAGCAGTGTGGACAATCCTTGTGCTATGAGGCTACTAAGACCTGTGGCCCAATTTAGCTTTGTATGCTTTGCAAATTAATTTCCATTTTCCACAACGCCCATGGCCCAGCCCAGAGCACTGGCCCGACACAGGTTCTGCTAGATATTCAGTGTCTACGCATATTGCCAAATCGCCCCCCACCCCACAAGTAATCATGGAAACCAAACGCTCATGCCTCATATTTGTAGCCCTTCTCCTCAATTCTCTCATGGGAGGGAGGAGTGGCAGAACCTGGTTTCATTTGCCTTGGGTAAAATGACTGCCTCTGGGCAGCAGAACTCAGAATCTGGTAAGGGTTAGGGGAGGCACTGCAGGATGAGTATCTGCTACCTCCTTCTTTTTACAATAAAGCTTGAAACAATACTCCTTTAAAGTATCCATATGTATGTATGTATGTATGTATGTATTTTTGCAGTACTGGGGATCGAACTGAGGACCTTGTCCCTGCAAGGCAGACACAGTGCCACTGAGCTAAATCCCCAGCCCCTAAGTGTATTTCTTTACAGAAAACTACATTTAAATGCAAAAGCAAAAGCAAAAAAGAGTCAATGAAATCCAGTTAAAGGTACTAATAATGCCCTAACATAATATATGTAACGATATTTCCTGGTATATTTTACAGCATTTGGTATGGCTGCTCTGGAAAAATTTTGGTTGCACACATCCAAAGCTGCTAGGTAAATGACAAAAGCAATGTCACTGTGCTAACTGCATGTAAGTATAATATTCCAACCCCTCCCATCTCAAGAGTCAGCCAAGCACAGTATGTTCTCCATGTGATCTTTAGTTCTAAATGTTTAAGGCAAAAAGCCAGATAGAGAAAAAAATTTTTTTTGTTTTGTTTTTTGGTACCGGGGATTGAACTAGAGAAAATGTTTTAAAAACATTTCTCCCATAAGCAGAAAAGAAAAAAAATCTTTCAAAGATACATGTTCAATTTTATTTAATTTTACTTACTTCTTTAAGCACAGGTTTTTAAGTTGATTAGAAATTTATAATTAAAGGTGACATTTACATAGAATGAGAATGACAATCATAGGTTAAATAACTTCCAATTTCTTCTGTGAAAAATGTGGTATTATGTATCTGTGAATATGTTTTACCCAGAAATAAATAATATACCCAAAGATGGACTGCATTATTAGATTTATCTAATCTTTACAATGTTTTAATTATCACTTACTTCCAATTCAACTAATTTGCAAATTGTCTGATTTTCCGTAATTTAAAAAAGCTTTAAATGTCATTATATTTTGTTAACATAAATTTGAATAAGGCATCAAAAATGTTTCAAGATATGAAAACAATTCACTGCACATACTAAAAATCAAAAATACCATGTAAAATAATTTTAAACAACAAACAACATTATTAAGAGTAAACAACTTGGTTTTAAGGAAATATTTTCTTTTAGATTTTATAAAGAAAAGAGTTACACTGATAAAGTTTATTTTGAAAACACTTGCTGATACAGCCAGTTAAGTAATTATGACAACTAATTCTGAACCATAAAAATGAACAATTCATATTTCAGTTTGGAAAATATAACCCAAGAGGCTTATTTTACTGAAAAGAATCAGCTATTGAATTATAATCTACAACAAGGAAAAACTGTAATCTCATAACATAAAATAGTAAAAATTATAAATTTTACTAACCCAGGTTCCTCTAAAATATTAGTGAGAAAAAAAAATGTAATGCTTTTATATAATTCTAATGATATGCTGTTTATGTTTTAACTGACAGTAATTAATCTAGCTACACTGATATTGTGGAGTAAAAAGTAGAAAAGTATTTTTAGGCATAAACTAAGTACAAGGAAAACTAATCTTCCCTTTCCATTCAAAAGCCTAAAAATCTAATTTTGTCACAGTTCTAGGCAACATTTAACATAAATCTATTCCTCAAATTAAACATGGAGTTTTATAATGAAACATTTTAAAAGTTAAAAGCTTTGACTATAAACTTACCTTCTTTTGATACCAGACTATAGCATCTGTGACTTTGGACGCCATTTATGCCACTGAATTTACACATTCATCATTTTAAGCTGTACAAGAGAGAAAAACATGCCAGTGAGTTTACTTCTGCCTTCCTAAAGGAGACTGACCAGCAGGCATACACAGCACTCTGGTTACTTGCAGAGCAAGGGGTGTATCACTATGCTTTTATTACACCTTCCTCATTACTATTTTAGCAACAGGTTCTCTTAACCAAACAAAAATCAGCTGTCATAATAAAAGAAGCTTCCTTTGTATGAATGCAGTATCTGAATGTTCTTACAAATTAGACTAAATTATCTTTTAAACAAAATGAACATTTTAAACAAGTTTCAGAATGTCCAAGGTCATCATGGAAGGTTTTCATTTATACATTCACAAATAAACCAAATCACTCATAGTAACAGACCAATTTTGCTGCAGTTTCTATCAAGGAACTTGTGTGAACCTCTGTTGCTAGTGGAGGAATAGAGATGCCAACACCTATAAATCACATAACTTTCCTTGATAGTAAACCCAAAATCGAACTAAAATCAAATAACCAGAGGTTTAAAATTTATATTAAATATTAAACCAATAATACCAGAGTTAATTTCACAGAAATAGTGGGCATGGTGGTGCAATGCCTATAATCCCAGTACTCAGGTGGCTGAGTGAGGAGGATCGCCATGAGTTTGAGGCCAGCCTGGGCTACAGCGTGAATTCAAGGCCAGCCCAAACTACATCGTGAGATACAATCTCAAAAAACAAAAAAGTTCATAAAAATTATATTAAGGACTTCTCAGATACCAGTTTGGCTACTATTTAGAAATCACAGACCATCCTCAAACACATCTATCTTGTGTGTCTAACAGAGTATTGGGTCCTAGATTTAACTGTTTCTTAGAATTCTAGAGAGAATTTCTAATTGATTGCAGTTAACTCTAGAATGCTCTTCTAGTCACAGGACAGTAGCCTGGACAGCTCCTCTGTATAGTGTCAAGGCTAAACTAAAAACAGTTTTAAAACCAGATACTGACCCTGGCACGCATCACAAACTAGGATCACCCAAGGCCACACCAGATCTCAGGAAGTCATAGAAGCAAAGCACACCTCCAAACCAACCCTAGCACACCCAGGTACCAACTGCAGAAAAGCCACCACTGCAATTTGCAAACAAAGTATTTCAGGTCTGGAACACACTAGGATTCAAATACAACCAAGCCTAGTATCAAGAACAAAAGTCAAAGAATCAACCTCTAAATTCAAAGCAGAACTTAATTAATGCTTGAATTTTTGACAGCTACAGACCAAATTATTTACCTTTCCTAAGAGATTAATACTTTTTCATCTTTAATGGGTCAAATCCAAGCAAAACCGTTTTGCAATTCCTGTCAAATAACATGACAGTGGGAAGAGGAGGATCACAGAATGAAAAGACCTGCGGCATCCAAATGTACTACTGAAGAAGCCACTTCAGCTCTCCAAACGCTAGTTTCTTTCACTCTTAAACAGGAGTGCTTGTACCTATTCACCCCTTACAGGGTTTTTGTTACCAGTAAGTAACATACATAAAATGTCTACCATAGTGCAGAGCACACAGACACTCAATTAGGACTGTTTCAATTATTAATTAAAAATTTCCTGGCCGTGGGGAAGGGAAAAGGAATTAAAATAGAATCACACTGTGCTATACACATGCACCTCCTCCCTAAAATGAATGCAAACATAATGTACTGCAAACATATACTAATAAAAAAGGAAAGAAAGAAAAATACTCAAGCAAAAAAAAAAAAAATCCCAATACAGGAACTGGGAGGTATTTCTTTTTAAATATGGACAACAACTGAGAGAGGTACATGGTGAGACATGTGTTACCCCAGCACTCTAGGAGGCTTAGGCAAAAGGATCACAAGTGCGAATCCAGGCTGAGCCACTAGGAGAGACCCTGTCTCAAAATAAAAATAAAAAGGGCTGGGCATGTAGCTCAATGTGAAGGTTCTAGGTTCAATTTCCAGCACCAGGGGTTAAAAAAATAATAATAAAAAAAAAGAGCAAGAAAAACAAAAGAAAACAACCAAGGGCAAGAACATATACTATCATTTTTATGTTGACATTAAAAGTAAAAATAGCTACTTCGTTATCATAAGATCACAAAGTCAATTCTCAATTCATGTGTATGAATTATTTAGCAATTTCAAAGTTCACCTCCTCTGTAGTTTCTCAGTCAGGCATGGTTACCTTCATTTTTCTCAACAGGCTTTTTAGGAGAAGCTTTCCTTTACTGTCTCAAAATCTTGGTCCTGGAGGTCTCCGGGGCGAGTCATTCACTTTCATCACATTTTGTTCTAGAGCCTGTCCCTACTGATCCTGGACTGTTCGCTGCTACCTTACATCTTCATCAAGTTTGTTTGGCAAGACAATTCTATGTTCTCAAAACTAATCAGTCTTTCCTCATGCAGACTCTAAGAAATGTACAAAAGAAATGAGAATATCTACTTTTTACAGTACCCACTTTTACTTAACACTAAATCTTTATAGAAAAAAATTCCAGATCACCTACCAAGATAAATCTCCTTTCCCCACCTTCTAACAGTACAAATATACACTTCATATACAAACATGAAAGGATTTAGCAACACATCCATTAAATGTGTGAGACATTTTGTATATTTAGGGAATAAATGATCATATCTAACTAATATTGAAACCAAAAAGAAAGAAAACAAGCTTCAATAAAGATACGGAAAAAACACTGCCTCAAAATAAAGATGATCTGAAAGTCAATTTTAAAACATTTTTTTGTTTATCAAGCTACGTTCAGGAATTTCATATATCTAAGAATGTAATAGGTATATAAAGTATCTTATAGTTTTGGGCTGGGGATTTAGCTCAGAGGTTCCAGCACCTGCTTTGCAAGTGCAAGAAGTATCTTATACTTTTAATTTGTATGGATCTATACAAATAAAAACTCAATCTTTGTTGTTGCTTAAAAAAAAAAAACTTTTCTTCAGAAATACTGTGCTCTGCAAACTGCTTTACTAGATTTTCCACTGGGTCACCAACCTTTCAGTGACACTGACAGCTCATATCTATTTTTAAAACACGTTTAACAGCATGCTGAGAGGATTCCTGAAGCAAACATCTGACAAAGCACTCAGACATCCAATTTCACAGGAATACCAACAAGAACATACGTACAAATGTTTTTGTACTTCTAAAGCCTTTCCAACAACTTTGATTCTGTGACAGCCCAGGCATAATGACAGTCCAGACTGGTAAGTCGCTTCCAATGTACCTCAAGTAGAGTATCTAAATCATTTTTATCAATGGACCTGACACAGGATGTATATTACGGAAATAATCTAATCTTAAATCCACAGGGATAAACTACAAGAATAAAATTTAAATCTTGCTACAGTTATTCTGAGCCAATTCTCTCCTTGGCATTGATTCAATCACCGTACCTACGGAAGCACCTGAAATTATTCCTTACTACATCAGCTTCCTCAGAGATTGCATTTAAGATGCGGCGGAAAACCCCGTGGAGGAAAAATGTGATGACGGAAGGGGTAGTGGGGAAAATCTGCCTCCGCACAACCTCAGTATCAAATACAGTAATGCCAAAGAGTATTCTTTGTACTGATAAAGTAAAAATAAATAGAAATGGCCAGATTCTTAACTAGCCCTTGACAAAAATCACCCTATAAAAATAACGTGAAGCTATAACACACTTTTGTCGTTATTCTAAAACAAGCTTCCCTGTCCCGAGCCTCAGACTCGCTGTGCTCAGAAACAGCGCCCTCCTCCCTGATACTCCACTTGAGCATGGGGTCCCACTCCGTCCTGGAGGCGTCCCAGCACAATCTCATTAGGATGAACACGCTGAAGCCTGATGTCTCTGCCGGCACTGTGTACACTGAAAGAGCTAGCATTGAACTAAAAATGCAAACTCACATGGCCACGGCCCCCTGATCGTCCATAAACACTGCTGCGAGGAAGGGGTCGCTCTCCCTTTCTATCTCTACGTACGCGCTGGTACACTGCATATAACGCGCAGAGCAGAGCGAAGGCAATGACCACACAGCAGCGGCACGGCACGGCACAGGCCCAAGTTCTGCCACCAGGGCTGTTCGCTCTTGTGTGAGTTCCCCAGTTTCTCTGGGCCTCAGTTTCCCACCAGTAGCACCTCGCCAAATATTACACAATCCCATAAAGATTAAAGTAACAGTTCCAATAATGTACAAGAGTTCCTCCAAATTCTTTTACTAACACACCCAAAAGTATTAATTTTGGATAAATCCACGATACACACATGGATTTTAAAGTAGTAGAAACCGTCAGACCAAATGAAAAGGGTCTTTTTTTCCATGATAGTTTACGCGGATCTCAGGCCTGAGGATTTCATTACTATCCTTCTCTAGCAATCTTTTATCACTCCCTACGGCTTACAGATTAAAATCCATAATCCACTTGGAATCGCGTTCCAGCCCTCTGCAGTCGACCCTCACTGCATCCCCACATCACTGCGGACCTCTTCTTATGCACACCCTGCTCCTACACCGGGGTGCTGTCCCGGAAGTAATACCTCCTCTTTCCAAAGCGGTTCCTTGTATTTCCTTCACAACTTTCGCCCCAATTCCTCCATCTGAGACTAACCTATTCTTTTTGACTATATTCTGTTCTGTGTGGACTTCAAGGTGGTTATCCACATGTGCCCTCAGTCTCAACCATAGATTCTCTAAGTTCAATATCTTTATTGCCAAATTATCCTACGGCTTTTGTCTATATTAAACATAAATGTTTACAAATGAAATTAAAAGTTACTGACCAGACTATCATCACTGGTGAATGAAATTAAGAAACAAAACTGAAAACTCCTGCACTACCCCCACCCCTCACACAAATGTATTCTTCAAAATTAAAAGGTATGATACTGTGGAATATAATGTATTATTTGATCAACCAATATGGAAAACTTTGCAAACCCAAAAGGTCCAAAGAGGAGACTTCAAGTCAAATCTGCCAAGTCTATCAGCCTAACTCCATTCCTAAGTGCTGAAGTTAAATA